GGATAGATCTGCAGCGACAGTAACTGCATAAGCAAAGTACAGTAGCAACCACTCATCAAAGCCATTTATTGGCTTGGACTAGCTGCACAGGACCTGTCTGTCCAGGTCCCAGGGCATCCTCCACTGGAATGACCAGCTGCAGTGGACACCTGCTCCCAGAACCCAGCCTACTGCAAGGGTCAGGCCTGCAGCCAGAGGACAGCTGGGAGCACTGGGGCAAGGGGCCAGTCCCCCGTTGACTGGAGCAGGATTTCAGAGGCAGTTCAGTGCTCATGGGTGCCAAACTGGAGAAGGAAACAATTTGGGAAGAGAGGCAGTCAGTGGGACAGTATGGGGGCAGGGCCCATGGCAGACCCTCCAAAGGAGGAGTGCCCCTTCTGCAATCAGGAGAAGGTCACTCCTTGTGCAGGCACCACACCAGTGTCTGGCCCACCCCTGTCATGCTCAACACCCGGAAGCCCTTGCGTTCCAGCTTGTCCAGGACTATGCGAGGAGGGTCGTTGACGTAGTACTCGTAGCTGCAAAGAGACCAGAGTGGCGGCATGAGAGAACACAGACTAAGCTCCTACACAAAGCTAGTATCTGCTGAGGGTCAGGCCTGACAAGGAGCTCTCTTCAAAGTGACATTTACTGGCACTTCCTGGCTGCCAGGCTATGTGCACATTCCCATCCCCTCTCCTATGAAGCACTTTACGTGTCTTAAATTTATTCCTCCTAACAACCTAACAAAGGTACTATTATTGTTCTTATTACATGAGAGAAAACCAAGAGGGGCTGACTAGTTTTCCCATTGTCATAGATAGGAGACCCAGTTTGTCTGGCAAAGTCACATGTCCCCTGAGTGCCCCACTGTTCAGGAAGAGTCACCTGCTCTTTTAGGCCTCACTCCTTGCCCAGCCTCTGGGTCGTTCCTGGTGGTCCTGCGGTCCTGGCTGTGCATGCTACTACCTGACATGGAGAATGCTTGGTTTCCCTTCTTTTAGGTTTAATTGGTGCTGAAAGGCCATGAAGCAGATAAGGGGCTTCAGCCCCATGCTGGGCATCTCCAGGCAAATGCCTCATGGCGAAAGGATGGGGGTGGCTTTCGCATTCCTATACTGACTGAAGGGGCTGGGATCAGTTCTCTCTCCTTCTTTGAACTGGACTCACTTTGGCAACTTTTTAAAATATTCTTGAGTCTGTGTGGCCAGGGTCGTCCCCTACTCCTGGGTAGGAAGGGTGAGGTGCAGAAAAGTGGTCTAGGTGTGGTCTAAAAGTGGTTTAGATATGGAAATAGTGTGAAGGATGCCCAAAAAGTGCCCTGACAGCAGCTAAGCTGAAAGGAGGACCCAGGCATTTCTAGGGCTGAGCTTTGTCACTCACCATTCAGAAACCTTTCTTTCCTGTCTTTGCTTGATGGGATCCAGCTTAGAGCTGAGAGGTCAGGGCAAGGAACAGTCCACTCATTGAGTCCTAGACCCAGAGAATAGACTGCCCTGGGCTTCCATTCAGGATGAACTACCTTATGAAGAAAGGCCAGAGAGAAAGCTTTCTGAGCGAGCCTCTGGGGAACTGTAAAGGAGCTGGGGGCAGAGCTGTGGGCAGAACCAACCCTACAGAGGACAGAGTCCCCCGATGCAGGTAAGAGGGCCCAAGCTGGGCATTGCCTTTGGACTTGGTGGTTGCGCAAAGGGAACAGGGCAGAACTAGGGGATTCCAGGGAGAAGGTACTAAGGGATGTCACTACTTACAAGTTGTTTCCCAGGACACTTCTCTTTGAGGCCCCCAGATGCTGCATCAGCTCTGGATCTGAGTGTTCATCGCCCACCATGGTGGGGCCCACCTCCTGCAAAGTAAGCCACAGTGGCTGCTTGGCTGGCTGCTTTGGCTGCTGGTAGAGGTGGGAGGTATCACTTTCTTCCTTCCCTGCCTGCTGCCCCTGAGCAAGCTTCAGGTAAAAGTGAACGAAGGTGGTAGTGAGGATCCTTGGAGGCTCACTATAAGCTGGGAAGGATGGAGCCCTTCCACACTCAGGCCAACAATGTGGGGCCTCCCTGACCCTTCTAAGTGGAACTGGGCATTGTGTGACTATTAATACCTTATGCCAGGCACCATCTCCCACATTTGTGTGTACTAGAATTACCTGGAGAATGAGAGAAATGAAAACACATGTCCACACAAAAATTTGTACACAGGCAGGTAAACTTCCTGAGTTAAAAAACAAATGTTTTTGAACAAATGTACACAAATATTCAGTGTTAATATCCAAAAAAGGTGGAAACATCCTAAATGTCAGTTAACCTTTGAATAAACAACATGTAGTACAGTCTAACAGTGGAATCTTTTTTGGCAATAAAAAGTAAGAACACATTGATGCATGCCACAATATGGATGAAACTTGAAAACATGTAAGTGAAAGAAGTCAGACCCAGGAGACCACATGGAGTGACAGAAAATAGGTTAGTGGTTACTTAGTGCTGAGAGAGTTGGGGGGAAGGACTGGATACAGGGTTTCTTTGGGGAGAAGGGTGTTAGAAATGAATCAATAAAAATCAATAAAATTGATTATAGTGATGTTTGTGCAACATTGAATATGCTAAAAGAGGCACTGAATTGTACACTTTAAACTAGTTAATTCTTTTGGTACATGTATTTAATATCAATAAAGATATATGTGGGTTTTTCAGATATTTTTTAGTGGTTGATGGATTTTTATTTATTTGAATGTGGTGCTGAGAATCAAACCCAGTGCCTCAAGCATGCTAGGCAAGAGCGCTACCACTGAGCCACAACCCCTAACTCTTATGTGTTTTTTAAAAATATTTATTATATTTTTAGGTGTAGATTGACACAACACAATACCTTTATTTTTATGTGGTGCTGAGGATCGAACCTGGGTCCCACCCATGCCAGGCAAGTGCTCTACCACTGAGCCACAATCCAAGCCCCATAAATGTTGTTTTTTTTAAAAAAAAAACTTTATTTTATTTACTTATTTTTATGTGGTGCTGAGGATCGAACCCAGGGCCTCAAGACATGCCAGGCGAGCACTCTACTGCTGAGCCACAACCCCAGCCCCTATATGTGTGTTTTTGATAGTATTGACTCACATATTAGACAAGAGCTCTAGCATTGAGTTAAAGTTCCAGTCCCCCCAAACTTTTTTTGATGGGGAGAGCTGGGGATTGATTCCAGGTGTGCTCTATCACTGGGCCACATTTCCCATACATTTTAAAAAAAATTTTTGAAGTTGTAGATTAGACAGAATGTCTTTATCTTATTTGTTTATTTTTATGTGGTGCCAAGGATGGAACCCAGTGCCTCACATGTGCCTGGCAAGTGCTCTACCACTAAGCCCCAGCACTCCCCAGTGCACATTTCTAATACATTTTATTTTATTTAAAAAATTTAGTTGTAGTTGGACACAATATCTTTATTTTTATTTATTTGTTTTTATATGGTGCTGAGGATCAAACCTGTGGTTCATGAGTGGGAGGCAAACACTCTACCACTGAGCCTCAACCCCAGCTCAACATGTTTATTTTTTGAGACAGGGTCTTGCTATAAGTTGCTGAGGCTTGTCTTGAACTCTAAAAAAGACATATGAATAAGAATCATCTGGGCTGGGGATGTGGCTCAAGTGGTAGTGCACTCGCCTGGCACGCATGAGGCCCTGGGTTCGATCCTCAGCACCACATAAAAATAAAGATATTGTGTCCACCTAAAAATAATAATAATAAAAAAGGATCATCTGGGCAGAACATTTCCCCAAACCCACAAAGAAAGACTGAGTTTCAGGTCTGGAAAGGGGACCCAGGAATTCACATTTTAACAACTATGTAGATGATTCAAGAACTGCTGCCCTGGTGCACAGCAAGATCTCTACTGTTACGCGGTGAACCCACCCTCTCTTTCCTTCATCTCAAGGGAACTGGGTCCCTCTGCTTGATCACCTGAGCCTGGGGAGTGGGAAGGGGGAGAGGGGCATCCTGTCGCCCAGCTGCAGTCCCAGTCATACTACTCTGAAGCTAAAAGGGGGCTTCCAGGATAATCAGCACCTTCTTTTTCAAGCTTAGCAAACTGAACCAAGAGAAGGGGTTATGCCTTCTGGCTCCTGGACAGCCTTCTCCCCAACGCTACCCTAAGTGCACCTCTCCTTCCTTCTTCACAAGCAGGACGTTCTTCTTTCCCTTCAGGGCTAACTCTTCCTAAAAGGGCATAAGGGTGTAG